ACAAGATTTTAAGGCTCGCTGCGCTTCGCCTTCTAATCTTGATCCTTGCACCTACGATGTTTCTGGGCGCGGGCGAGAACACAATTGTTCAATGAGGTGTGTGGGAATTGTGCGAGCGGAGGCGAGGCGAGGCGAGTGCGCGGTAGCGCCCGGGGCGGGGCTCAGGGCGCAGCGTTGGTGGACGCTTGAGTGGAGGCGAAGGTGGAAAGTCGGATGCCGGACGCTAGAGGTCGGAGTGCTGAGCTGATGGAGGCTGGAAGTCTATAGGTGGAAGTCCCACCAGCCCTTTAGGGTTACGGTGGTATAACGAGTTTGGTTTTCTCTCTTCCGCTTCCTTCCCCTGCTCGGGGGAGGGGTAACCTTCCCCTGGACCTGGAGGGGGGGGGGATGGAGGCGTTAGAGCGTCCAAGACGGCTCAAGATGGCTCCAAGAGGCGCTCCAAGTCGCAAGATGGCCTCCAAGATGGCCCAAGATACCTCAAGATGGGTCAATATAGCCTCCGACACACCTCCAAGAGTCCTCAAGACGGATCCAAGTGCCCTTCGAGCCCTCCACGGCGCCCTCCAAGAAGCCAAAACCCTTCAAAAGCTTAAGAAAGTCCATGTGTTTGGCATTCTCGTCATTTCGCTTCCGATGGGTCTCTGAGGCATCAAGATGGCCCCAATATGGCCCAAAAGAGCCCCAAGAGGGGCCCGAGAAGGCCCAAGACGGCCCCAAGATCGCCCAAGAGGCTTCCAAAGAGCGCTCCAACACGTCCCCAAGACGCCGTTTGAGAGCCTCCGAGGGGGGGACCTGAATTGAGGACCCCCGCTCTTTTTGAACAATGGGGCCCAAGACGGCCCCGAAAGGCCTCCCAGCCTCTCCTGAAGATTCTCCACCCCGCCCTTTTTGGCCCAAGATGGCTCCAAGAGAGCCCTGGATAGCCCAAGATGGCCTCCGAAATGGCCCAAGATAGCCAAGCATGGCTCAATATAGCCTCCGACAGATCTCCAAGAGGCCTCAAGAAAGCCTGAATATGGCCCGACATAGCCGAGCATGGCTCAGAATAGCTTCCGACAGACTCTAGCCGAGCATGGCTCAGGATAGCCTCCAACAGGCCTCGGGAAAGCTGGCAATCAATTCTGGACGGGCTGGTGGGGATACTTTTTTGGTCGGCGGCTCCCTGGCGAAGGTCAAGAAGCGGGGCAGAGTTCGGGGCGCAGAACGAAGATAATTGGCCGCAGTGGCGTATGCACATGCAAGGGACAAAATGACCCACATTAGACGCCAAAGACCGGCGCAGACACCCCGGCGGGTGGGGACGCCAAGGCGCGGCGACCGGTGGCGGGACGGCGGGGAGAAGTCGCCGTTTCGGCGCCAAGCTCCAGCCAGCCACAAGCGAGGACGCGTACAGCGCGACCATGTGATCAAGGTGAGGATACTTTTTTTGGTTGGCGGCTCCCTGGCGAAGGTCAAGAAGCGGGGTAGCGTTCGGGGCGCGGAACGAAGATAATTGGCCGCAGAGGCGTATGCACATGCAAGGGACAAAATGACCCACATTAAGCGCCAGGAGACCGGCACAGACATCCCAGCGGGTGGGGACGCCAAGGCGCGGCGACCGGCGGCGGGACGGCGGGGAGAAGTCGCCGTTTCGGCGCCAAGCTCCAGCCAAACCACAAGCGACACAGGTGGCAAGAGAGGAGGAGAGGGCGAGCGTGAGCGACTAACTCAGACTCAAGGTGGGTATACGCGAAGCGTCAAGAATTGAGAGGAAAGTCGGCGGCCGCATGCTGGAGGACGGGATGCTGACCTGGTAGAGGCTGGGAGTCCCGCGAGCGAAGCGGCCACACGATATTGAATGAGAGATGTGGCCGGCGCCTCGGCGAGAGCACGGGGCCCAGTGAAAGCTGTCTTCTGTTTCCGCCGTTTGCCCTCCCCTCCTCCTGCTCCTCCTTGCCCTCCTTCCGTCTTCCTGGGGCCCCTCCTGTTTCTCGCAATCCTCACCGTTCCTTCCTCTTCCTCCTTTTTCTCCTCCGTCCCGCCTCCTGCTCCTTTTCCTTCTCTGCCACGCGGGCCCATTCGGCGCGCGGCCAGCCGAGCCAAGGACGACGGCTCAGGTCAATCAGAGTGTAATGAATTTGACGGCTCTAAGACTGAGTGGAGCTCCTGTTGGCGCTTTTGTATACCATCGGAGGGCCTTCTTGGGCTGTCCTGGGGCCCTCGTGGGCTGTCTGGGGGGGCTTGGGCCGTCCTGGGACCGTGTTGGGGCTCTCTCGGGCCCTCTCTGAAGCATCCCGTGGCTCTGTTGGGGCCCTCTTGGAGGTCTTTTAGGGGTCTTTTGGGCGCTCCCTGCCTTTCTTGGCGCTTTATTGGCCCATCTTGGGGCCCCATTGGGCCGCCTGGAGGCCATTTCGGGGCGACCTCGAAGCTCGCAGACCATTCTTGGGCCGTTCGTGGTCAGAAAAGGCGAGAAGCACAGAGTCGTTCAAAAACCCACGGAAAATTAAGGTTTTTGGCCTGCTGAGGCCGTATTGGAGGTCTTTGCGGGGGCATCCTGGGCCGTCTTGAGCCCATGTTTGGTCCTGTTGGAGCACTCTGGGGCCGTCTTGGGGCCCCTTGGGCCTTGCAGAGGACGTCTGGGAAGTGCCTTCTGCTGTCTTGGGCTCCCGATGTAGGCCTCGTGTCGCTCTCTTCGGGGCATTTTGGGCCGCCTCGAAGCATTGTGGGGCTCTCTTGGGGGCCTGTGGGGTTCATCTGGGGTCCATGGGGGGGGGGGTGTCGGTGACATGCCGGGTTTTTCCTTGTAATT